GGGAACACCCCCACACAGCCGAGCCAGGGATCAGCTGTGCGGCTACCCCTTTGAAGTACCCCTTCTGTCCCTCCATCCCAGCCCCCCCACCTTTGGCTTCCTCTATCTGATCGAGACAGCAAGGTGGGCGGGAATTGACTAGTTGATTGAGGATCCCATAAGCATTTGCTTATCTCAATGTTTCCCAATTGGTGCTCCGGGGAACTCTGGGGTTCCGCGAAGCAAAACTAGGGGTTCTGCGAGGAGCTGGCACTCCCCCACCCCCTCTGAAAGAGAGAGAGCTGGCTGGCCAGCAGAGGCATGGGCAGCGAGTTGTATGGGCTCATGGTGCCCATGCTCCACCAATATTTGGAACTGGAGCAGGCCCTGGCCCCCCCACGCGTCCTCCCACCCCGGTCCCAGAGCATCTCTCCCCTGTCCCCGTGCCCGTCCCCGCCGTGCGCAACCTTCACTGAGCTTCTCCTTGCTGGCTGCTGGCGCCTGCACAGCGTGCTCAAACCGGTAGGTGGGGAGATGCCCGGGTGTGACGTAATGTCACGGCCCGGGATTTTAAAACTGCTGGGTGCTGCGTTGTGCCGTATGGCTGAGCTGCCGGTTTGGAGTCCGGGGACGGAGTGAAGACTCTGGCACCACAAAGTGGAAGGCAGAAGGTAGGGGAAGGGGAAGAGCTGGGAAAGGAAGGGGCTTGTGCGGAGGGGGAGGAGAGAGGAAGGCACCAAAAGGACAGGGTAGAGGAGAGACACATGCCAGGGGGCCAAGTGCAGACAATGAGGAAAAAGGCAGGAGGGGAGGTGCAGTGGGAGGGGGACAGAGTGATGCTGGGAGGGGAGAGGGTAAAGGCATTGGGGGCTAGAGAGGGACAGGAGGTGCTGGGAGAAAGCTTGAAAGAAGGGGTGGGCATGAGGGAGGCTGGGACGGAGCAGGTCATGTGCGAGGGCACAAGGGCATGAGGGGAATGGGGGCAGAGGGTGGTGAGGGGGTGGGCATCAGGGAAAAAGAGGGCAAAGGAGGAACGGGCAGTGAGGGAAGGGGGAGGCAACAGGAGGGTGCAGGTGTAAGAGAAGGTGCAAGTGCCAGGGGATTCTGGGGGTGAAGCAGAAGGGCAGACACCTGCAGGGGAGGGACCAGCACCACCAGAGGAGAGATGCAGGGCAGGTTTGTAGAAGGAGGTGTTAGAAGAGGGGATGAAGAGGGGTAGCTCACATGATCAGAATGGGGCTACTGGAGAAGTGGGCACAGGGAGAAGAGAAGGGCTGGTGGAGGGGGGCAGGTTGCAGGAGAGCTGAGGGCTGTGAGAAGGGCAGGAGTCAGGACAGCAGAGGAGGGTGAGGAGTTGGGAGGCAGCAGGCACTAGGGGAGCTGATGGAACAAGGGGTGGAGACATGGCAGCAGAGAGAGAAGGTAAAGGTTTACAAATATTTATTAATAACTTGGGTGCCACAGTGGCACATCCAAACAAGCCACATGAACTCAGTACTGGTGCACAACACAAAATTCATTTTGCTTATGCGAGGAAACTCTTAGGCTATGTCTACAATGGCGGTTTCTTGCGCAAAAACATCTTGCGCAAGAGTACGTCCACACTGCCATGTGCGAGCTGTGCTTTTGCACAAGAGCATCTATGGCAATGTGGACGCTCTCTTGCCCGAGAAAGTGCCGATGGCCATTTTAACCATAGAGCTTTCTTGCGCAAGAAATTCATGTTGCCTGTCTACACTGCCCTCTTGTGCAAGAACAGTTGCACAAAAGGGCTTATTCCTGAGCAGGAGCATCATAGTTCTTGCGCAAGAAGCCCTGATTTCATACATGAGAACACTGTCCCCTGCTCCCACCGGCACATTTGGGACCACATTAGTGAGGCTTGGGGGTCTTTGGAGGGTTGTTGGGGTTTTTTTGCATCTCATTTGTGTGGCCCCAACAGACTTTTCTGTGGGTCAGTGACCCTTGACTCAAAACAGGTTCCTCACCCCTCTCATAAAGATAATGCTAAAACTTTTTGAGTTTGACATAATATTTTATTTAAAAATGAAGCCAGGCCAACAAGCCCCCAATTGGGGCCAAACCCCCATCTCTCTGCAGCATCATAACACTCCTGCACCATCTGACCCCAAATCTGAGCCTATCATACACTGGAACCCCCTGTCCTGGGCCTCTTACATCCCCAAACTCCTGCATCCCCCCATCCTCCGTCTTCTGTTGCAGCACTCCAGCATCATCCACACATCACAAATCTGTGTTCTGAGCCCATCATACTCACAACCTTCTTGCCCTGAGTCCCTCACATATCCAGCCCAAACTCCTGCACCCTCACATCCACAAGCCTGTGGCTTTTCTA